AAATCTAAGCGAGGCACCCTTTAATCCAAAGGGCATTTTTAAATATTCATACTGCCCCAGCGGCGTAACGAACGAGGTATATTTTATTGAATCTTCATGCATTTTGATATGGAAAAAACCGTCTTTTAAATCTAAAGTCGTAAAATATTTTTTCCCGGCCAGTAAATCTAATTGATCTTTGATCAAAGAAATTGGAAAATTGTCGCGTGCCGTGAATTTATTTAACGTACGAAAGTCTATACACATTCTCGTCTCACCATTTTTCTTTTTGGTAAGGACGATTGGTGACGCATATTCCGAAGTACTATCTCTAATAACACCTTTCGCAACTAGTTCATTTAAAATGCTGTTTAATTTTATTTTCTCGTCATAAAAAAGTCTGCGAGGCGTACACGAAAATGGTTTATTATTTAAAAGTGTGAGCTTCATCACATTTTCTACTGCAGGATTCGATGGTCTCTGAACATTAACATAATATTTTTCAAATAATTTGTATGCCCTCGCTTTGATTTCAGACGGAAGATTTTCATTAATACGCATATCTTGTGAAATTGTCTGAGCATCACGTTCAATTATTTCGATGTTCAATATGTCAGCGTCATTATTTAAGAACAACTTCGCTGATTTAATGAAATCTCGTCCTAAAATCATCGCATTTTTCATAGTTTTATTTGGAACAACGCGTAAAGAAACATTATATTCACCTTTATCATCCACTATTGTCGCGTTTAAACGGCCTACTATTTCTAACCCACTGCCGTTTACCCCACAAAAACGATCATGACCTGAATTTTCCATAACAAATTCGCGAGGAATATAGCTTTCTTTAATAAAACTAATCGGACTTCCTGTATCGAGTAATGCGCTAAGATTTAATTTAAAATTACTGTCCTTATTATTCACACGTAGTTCTATCGCACGTTGAAAGTCGTCTCCTCCGCGCTCTCCTTGCTTTTCCCTGTTGATCCAGTTGATGTCCTCCGATGAAGAGTTGACACAATTGACGTCCTCCGACAAAGAGGTGACACAATCCGACGAAGAGTTGACACAATTGACGTTCTCTATCGATGAGCTGCACTGCGCCGCACGATGACCAAATTTTCCACACTTGTAACAGGATCCTCGCTCTCGTTTCGGTTTCTTGCACTCCGTAGCAATATGTCCGGCCTCATTGCAATTGTAGCATTTCCGTACGTTTAACTCCCGTTGTTCTACGCTTTGCGAGTTAGTTTTGCCTATTATCGGATCTCCACGACGTTGATAATGCTTGTTAGTCTCTTTAGGCAACGTTACATTTGTGAACGCAGTCAACATCGCCTCGAATGACTGATAACACTGCACTTTAGCTTGAGTTCGTAATTGTTGATTCGGAATTCCCTTAATCACATAACTGATGGTTTCCGTTTCTTCAACCGGCAACCGATTCGCAAGAGTCACTTTATCATGTAAATAATCCGCAAAGGTTTCATTTGCTTTCTATACCCTTGCTTCGAGCTCACGTCGCAAGGTCAGTCGATCGAGCTGTATCCCGTACATCTTCTTCAATTCTCGTAAGAGATCTTCACTATTTAACTCAACGCAATCTACTCTGGAATGGTACCATTTTTGCGCTTTGTCAGCCAATCTGCTACACACCAGGACCTTAGCCTTATGTTCGTCCAAGTCGTAAAAAGTGAGCAGCTTTCTGACCTGTTTCTCCCAACGATCGAAGTCCGCACTATTTCCGTCGAATTCGCCAACAAGATCCTTAAGCTCTTGCCATTTCCTTGGAACGACTCTTGACGGTGTCGATGCACTTTCTTCTACTCTTGGAGTCATCCGCAAGAGTTCTAATTCCCGTCTTAATAACTCGGCTTCTCGCGCTGCTAAATCTCTCTCTCTACGTAATCGGTCAACTTCCCCTGAAGAAGGTACGACAGAACCAGCGCTTATCGCTCCTTGCTGAAGTTCATCGGGCGTCTCAAATGTCTCGCCTTGAGATCCGATCTTAAGTTCTTCCGAAGGGACTCCCGCTTCAATCAGCCGTTTCACCATTTCATTTTTTGAGCCATGTGTCGGAAGGTTTCTAATTTTCAGTTTCTCCTTAAGTTCCACAGCTGTAAGCGTGCTCATTGTGCTCAGGGACAGAATCTCACTCACTTAAAACACTTAAAACACTTAAAACATTTTCACGTAACTCCGTAACCGAACGTAATTTCGTAACGCCGAATTCGTCACCGAATGTATATTGTAAAATTTTATATTAATTCGGTACCGTCCTTTATCCCACTTCTGAAAAATTGTAAGGGATCTTTTATTATAACGAGAATCAGAGAGCGCGCACAAAGATCTGCGACCGGCACTTCGTCTTCCGTTTATATATTGGGAATGTTGCCAAGGCGTTTAACAAAACTATTTATTAATAAATTAACATAAGACTCCGTCGCTGTGCAACTTCTGTCTCTTATACACATCTC